AAGTTGTTCTTCCAACCAATAATTTTCCTAACAAGTTGTATTAGTCAAGGTCTTCCCCGTCCATAACCAGCATGAAAGTGCAAATTCTAACAAGTTGTTATTTCATCCAATAATTTTCCTAACAAGTTGTAAGTCAAGGTCTTCGAATTCATAACAAATACGAAAGTACAAATGCTAACACGTTGTTATTCCGTCTAATAATTTTCCTAACAAAGTTATAAATCGAGGTCTTCCCCGTCCGCAACTATCACGAAAGTGCAAATATTAACAAATTTTATTATATCCAATAATTTTCCCAACAAGTTGTAAGTCAAGGTCTTCCCAATTCATAAGGACTATAACAAATACAAAAGTGCAAATGCTAACAAGTTGTGAACCCATCCAATAATTTTCCTAACAAAGTTTTAGGTCAAGGTTTTCCCCTGCATAAACTCATATGGATTGAGAAAAACTGAAAAAATTGACTAACTTAAAAAATTTAGTAATAATCTTTTTATGGTGGTTTAGCAAAATAAAAATCTTTAAATTTAGAAAATAAACCAATTATAATTCTTTGAATTAAATTAGACAACCAATGACCCTTTTTTTTTTTTTGATGGAAGACAACCAACGACTTTAATTCAATTTTATAGCCCGCTTAGCTCAGTTGAAAATTTCATTTTCGGCTTCTACAATTAATTTTTTTTTTTATCTTAAGTTCCACAAATTTTTTGATAGTTTACACAATTAATTTTCTACAATTCATTTTTTTAAATCTTCAATGATTGCCGTAATCTTAACAATAATTAATGTTTCATATTTATAAAAAGGTTTGTCTAAAAATGATTGCCATGATCTGATACATTTTTATTAGAAAAAAGACTCTGGAGATTAGCATTGACTCAAAGGTCTTCATTATTGAAGTCACTCTCAAAAGCTAAATTTCACTGAACTTTCATAGAGGTAGCAAAGTTTGAAATGTTCTTATGGTCAAAGGTCTTCATTATTGAAGTCACTCTCAAAAGCTAAATTTCACTGAACTTTCATAGAGGAAGCAAAGTTTGAAATGTTCTTATAAACATTTTCTTTCAATGGCGAGTTCCTCAACCAAGATGGGAAATTCACATGACTCTATTGGATGGCCAAAAAGACAAAAAAGAAAGGAAGAAAAGCTTTGAAAATAGTAAAAAAACAGCACAAAGTAAAACATTCACTCTACTCATATAGATGGAGAAAAAAAAAAAGGAAAAAAATGACCAACAATCTAAAAAAAACTTAGTGGTAATCTCTTTTTAGTGGTGTAGTAAATAAAAATTTTCAAATTTAGGAAATAAAGATAATGTTGGAGAAAATGTACAAATAAAGATGTCAATTTAACATTTTTTTTATTTAAAGATATTAACTTTATCAGTTTTTAAATAGGAATACCAATTTTCAAATTTTTTTATTTAAAGATGTCAAACTTTTAATATTTTCTATACAAGAATACTAACTTACAACTTTTTTTTATTTAATGATTATTTGGATGATGATGCTAATGTGGCATATGGACTTTTTAACAGGAATGTTGAAATTTGATATTTTTAAATAAAAAAAATTAAAAATTAATATCTTTAAATAGAAAAAAATTACAAAATTAACTTTTTATTTGCTCATTTTCTCTGTTGGGGTATATGAACGAAAGAAAGATAGAAAATAAAAAAATTAAATACATGTATATCTAGAGATTTAGACATAAGATTTTTTTTAATAAAAAAAAAAAAAAGAGATATAGGGAAGGAGAGCTATCTCCTATTACATACTTCATTCATTAGACATAATAAAGAAAAATCTAATACACCAATTTTACTAGAAAGAATGGGAAATCACTCTTTGAAAAATTAGTTTTGAAATGCATATAAATAGATAGCTCTAAACCCTTTAATGATTAAAAAAAATTTAAGGTCTTTCTATTATATGGAAAACTGTTGTGCAGTTCAAATTGCATTAAATTGCACAATAGAAATTGTTTGATAAGATAAGATATAGATCCTCTGATATTGGTGCCCTCCTCCATCTAACAATCCCTGTCTTGCAGTCCAAATGATTTCCCAATTGCAAATGCCATAACATGTCTCAATTTTTATTTTTTTTTATTTTTTTATGGGGAAAAGTAGATATAATATTAATAAAACAAAGGATTAAAGGAGTGACCCCCCAACCTTTTTTTAATGTTAGTGACCCCCTTGTTTTGCCAGTACCAAAGTTGCATTTGTTCATTTACTTAATAAACATAATTACCACCATTCATTAGAGTCATTTTTGTTAAAATCTCATGTAACTCTTAGTTATGTCTCTTCAACTTTTCTAAGTAAGCCATCAATAAAATTAATAAATTATCTTCTAGATTTAATTTTAGTTGTTTTAATTTAATTTTTTTACTTTTTTAATATAAATTTTAAATAAAAAGTTAACAATATATATGATGATAATTACATTTTATTTCTTATATGTAGCTTTTGTTTTTGTTTTTTTTTTATCTTAGGTTGTATAATGAAAAATAATTTTTTCACATCTGTTAACATGCTTCATCACAAATCAAATTTAAAATCTTTTACTTCTATTGGTAAAAAATTACTATCGAGTTTTAGATTGTTGGGATATGTAGTTTTTTATTAAATAATTTCATTTAAAAAAAAAATTAATTGTCATTTATATATTATTTTAAATTTTCATCTAAAAT